AAAAATATATTTTAAACATATTTTAAAAATATTCTTCCCAAATATATTGACATATCCAATCCAATCATTTCCCCCTGATGAAGTCACGTGACCCTGTGACGTAACGCGTAGGGGAGGGGCTCTGACGTCACGACGTTCCTTCGGAGAGGCTCGGCGATTCCAGCGCAGACAGAGGCAGGCAAGGAGGGAGAGCAGTGGCAGAGGAACACTCACTGTTAACTGTGAAATCTATGTTGCCCTGGACCACCAAGGAATCGCATATTGCTGTGTATTACTACTACAGGCAAAAATAAATCCCAATATTTTAAAAAGGATAAGACACTATGGTCTCTTTTCTTTTTATCTACATCTGACCCTTAAACTCCACATTGGTGGAAGGAGGATACGAGAAGGAGGTGACCCCTGGAGGGGAATTAGGAGATAAAGCTGGTCTCATTATCGGTGCATGAGCAGCTGAATAAGGAGAAGGAGGAGAGAACAGGAGCACCTATATCTATACCTTGGAATATTTAACACATGAATACTAACCCATAGATCCTGGAAGGATCAAAAAGTATATTTGCCTGAATTTATTCAGGCAAATACAAAGGTGAGCGCATAGGGAGACCACAAGGCACCTGGAACCTAGGAATCACTTGCACTTTTGCACTTTTTAAAGACTTTATTTATTCATGAATTATGCACGTGCACATTTAAATATGGTTTCTTACACAATTATGGTTTTTGATTAATCACTTATTATTAAGAGCGGCACTCATTATACTCATATGTTTATATATTTATTAATTATTGATTATCATCCACCACATGTATTTAGGTTATTTGATGCATGCACTATTATATATTGGTAATTACTTAGTTATATTAGTTTAAGGATTGTCACTTATCACAATGATTTATATTTGATCTATTAAGTTATTAACCAATCAGATTGAGTACAGATTGAATACAGATTTATATATACACAAATAGGAGCGCGGCACTATAAAGATATCTATATTGTTGACATATATTTGAAATACTACAATTTTGGCCGTATTCTTTATATATATACTGTATGTTGAAATGTGTTTCTTATATATTGCAAAATATATGAAAACTATTTTTAAAAATTTTAAATATATTCTTCATATTATTTTAACTGTAAATGCATTCCAAAAATGTAGATTAAATGTATTTTTAAAGACATACAGTATATTTGAAAATGTATTTTTCATATATTTTGTAATATATAAAAACGCATTTTAACATTAGATAGATAGATAGATTGAAATATATTTTGAAAATATATTGAATACGGCCAAAATTGTAGTATTTCAAATACCGTATTTTTCGCTCCATAAGACGCACTTTTTTTCCCCCAAAAAAGGGGGGAAAATGTCAGTGCGTCTTATGGAGCGAATATAAAGCGGCCGTCCGGTATTTTTGCGGCCACCATGTCAGAATACCGGGCCGGCCGCTCAGCTGTTGTCTCCTGCAGGGCCTTACCTGTTCCTCGCTCCAGCGCTGCACAGTCTTCCCGCGTGGCTTCTGTGACAGCTGGGTGCCCACTGCGCATGTGCTGCGCTTTTGTGAATGATCCGGTGTCTTCTGGGACACATGAAAGGTCCCAGAAGGCGCCGGGCCATTCACAAAGAGCAGCGCTTCTCGCACATGCGCAGTGGGCACCCGGCTGTCACAGAAGCCGGCCCGGAAAGAAGAGGGAAGGACAACTCCGCGGAAGTGGGAGCAGGTACCTGTCAAATTCAGGTACCCGCTCCCCCTCCCTCCCCAAAGGTCAGCAGTCTCTGGTCATTCCCTTCACTGTCTGCAGTCTTTGGTCATTCCCTGCACTGTCCGCAGTCTCTGGTCATTCCCTGCACTGTCCGCAGTCTCTGGTCATTCCCTGCACTGTCCGCAGTCTTTGGTCATTCCCTGCACTGTCCGCAGTCTCTGGTCATTCCCTGCACTGTCCGCAGTCTCTGGTCATTCCCTGCACTGTCCGCAGTCTCTGGTCATTCCCTGCACTGTCCGCAGTCTCTGGTCATTCCCTGCACTGTCCGCAGTCTTTGGTCATTCCCTGCACTGTCCGCAGTCTCTGGTCATTCCCTGCACTGTCCGCAGTCTCTGGTCATCCCCTGCACTGTCCGCAGCCTCTGGTCATCCCCTGCACTGTGTCCGCAGTCTCTGGTCATCCCCTGCACTGTCCGCAGTCTCTCTGGACATCTCCTGCACTGTGTCCGCAGTCTCTGGTCATCCCCTGCACTGTGTCCGCAGTCTCTGGTCATCCCCTGCACTGTGTCCGCAGTCTCTGGTCATCCCCTGCACTGTGTCCGCAGTCTCTGGTCATCCCCTGCACTGTGTCCGCAGTCTCTGGTCATCCCCTGCACTGTGTCCGCAGTCTCTGGTCATCTCCTGTACTGTGTCCGCAGTCTCTGGTCATCTCCTGTACTGTGTCCGCAGTCTCTGGTCATCTCCTGTACTGTGTCCGGAGTCTCTGGTCATCCCCTGTACTGTGTCTGCAGTCCATTGGTTCAGAATATTTTTTTTTTCTTGTTTTTCACCTCTAAAATCTAGGTGCGTCTTATGGTCAGGTGCGTCTTATGGAGCGAAAAATACGGTATATGTCAATATATTTGTGAAGAATATTTTAAAAATATATTTAAAATATATTTTTCTTCCATGTGGGACATATCTCACTGGTGACATGGACACTGAGAGTAAGCTGTATGTGTTGGTGTGCAGATTTCACTGGTGACACTGCTATTGGGCACTGGGCTGTGTCTGTGAGCCTGATAGTTGATGTCCCTGGTGACATACAGTAGATACTGAACAGTATGCTGTGTGTGCTGGAGTACAGATTTCACTGGTCACATGGATAATATGGAGTGAACTGAATGTGCTGAAGTGCAGATCTCACTGGGGAATGAACAAAGTGTGTGGGGGGCTGGATAGTGTGGAGACCAAATTTCTTTAACCCCTTTGCGCCGTTGCCTCCCAGCCCTTTAAGAGTTTTTAGAAGCTGGGCAGCAGGGCAGGGTTTTAAGGTCATGTGACCGCCATGATTCGCTGTCATGACGGTCACATGATCGGAAAAGGTCCCGATTGCAAGGGGGGATCGGGACCTTTCCGTGAGTCACGGACATATGTGCTGGGAGTGCACAGGGTGCGCGTTCTCAACACATATTTATTTTCAAATGGTACTCAAATATGTGGCCGCTCGGCGTCAAGGCCCAGACGACAAGAGGTCGCAAATTTGTGTGCGCTCAGCATCTAGGGGTTAAGCTAAATTCACTACTAGAGGCAAAACATGTCAGTAGAGAAGCCGGAAATTGCAGTCTCCTCAATCCCTTTTAATACTACTTAGGCATAGATATGTAGTATAGCTGAATGATCACCTTCTATGTCTGTGGCCACCTCTCAGGTCAACACAGATAGCAGTCTACAACATGTAGTTGGGTAAGCATAAGCACTTTACAGGAGTCCAAACATGGCTTCACTCTCTCCTTCAGTACTAGAGCTCAGTGGAAAGTCAGATGTAGACTGAAATCAGTGAAATTAAAGCCTAAGTCTGAAAGTATGTGTAATGAATGGCTTTCTATAGGTGTTATGTATTGGCAAGTATAATACTGAGGTTTGATTAAATGCAATCAGTGCTACAGAATGTTCAAAACATTGTGTGCCATGGTAACTATGGCAACTCCAGTGTTATTAGCAGCTTCTTATTGCTCGGAATAATTCAGAGTCAGAAGGAAAGAGGTTATTGCAGGTGTTGCAAGCTGGCTCATAAGAACACAGTGGAAATGTTTATAAGTAAGGACTGGGGAATAAATAAGTTAGGAAACTTTTGCTTTGCTATCACTCATCAAGTGGCCATATTTCCTGCTACATGTGGTCTTATTTAGGCTCAGTTCACACTAGCTTTCTAAGCAGGCATCAGACAGGCATTTGGGAAGGGTTTTTAACGCTTCTCAAACACCTATGAAAATTCTGCACATGGTAGCACACAGTGCTGTTCACACTGAAGTGTTAGCGTTGCATCAAAACTGACGCCTTGTGTTGTGTCAGGAGTTGAAGCCTCCCATTCAAGTCTATGGTGCCGCTCCGCAAACACCTGGCAGGCGTTTGCAGTTCAGTTGCGATGCAGAGCGTTAATACCATTTAACTTCATTATAGGCATTTGTGGTGAGGTTTTAACGCTTGGCAAACGCCTATCAACTGCCTCAAAACCACGCATGGTGCGTTTGGGGAGAGTTTGAGGAGTGTTAAAAATGCTTCCCAAATGCCTGTCTAACACCTGTCAAACGCTATAGGGGCAATTGGCAAGAGTTAGAAATAAAGTCAAGTGTGAACAAGCCCTTAATGACATTTTTTATAAAAAGCCCTGGTTCAAAGTAATGCTCCGTACACAAGATAAGAAAATCGTATGCAAAATTTCACGGAACCACACTAACGATTTTCTCTTCGTTGATGGGCAGCATGTTTTAACCGATAAAGATATTGTGAACGAAAAAAATCCGGTTGAACAACAGTGAAAAATGTTGTCGTTTCGCATATACGAACAACCGATTTTCTATGAGGTGGTATGACGGTCGTACGAAAAAAATCTATCAAGCGCTATCACGCATGAGCGGAAACAGAAGATGACTCGGATGTTTATGTCCAAGGAATCTTCATAAACACGAACGAAAAATCCAAATGTTAAAAGTAGATTGGCCTAATGAGATAATGAAACCAGAATTCTGCATATTATATTTTATGTATCACTATTTATGTAGGGCTTAAACTTTCAAGTCCTGAGCTACTAGCCAGGCCTTAAGAGTTACTCACCACCAACAAACACACACAGAGACACCTGTACACACACACAGACATGTACATACACACATACACGCACAGAAACATGTACACACACGTACAGAGACACATATACACACACACACATACAGACACATGTATACACACACAGGCATGTACAGACACACATACACACAGATACATGTACATACATACACAGACACATGTACACACAGACACATGTACGTACATACACACAAACACACATGTACATGCACACACACGCATACATACACACAGACACATAAACAGATACACATGTACATACACACAGACACATGTACGTACATACACACATGTACATGCACACACATACATGTACATACAGGCAGACACATGTACAGATACACACATGTACATACACACACATGTACACACACACACACGCACGTTGTTAAGTGCTCTCTCCTCTCCCCTGAAGCCACCACTGGCTGACAGAGGATCATGTGACCAGAGTGAGCTGAAATTAGGTAGACACTCACTCACACACACCTACCCTATAAAAAGTTGCAGTACTTCGTTGTTCACTCACAGAGCTGCACTCTAGGGGGAGGCAGAGAGCACATCACACATTCCTTCCTTTGCTTTCACTGCGCTCAGCTATTGGGCATTCTGACGGCTCCCAGTGCCAATGACAGATCCGGCCTCAGCTCCGAGCCTGCTCAGCAAGACGGCCCTGGGAAACATACTCACCCCCACCATAATTTCCACTCACCATTGGCGAGCAGGCAAGTGTAAATTTCAAGGCCTGATATAGTTAATGTAATAAACTATATTATACTCATTGCTGTTAATTGTGTATATCGCTCATTCTGGCCAGAAGGGCGTGACTACAAGGTCACTCGCACACTGCATCACTTCCACTTGTACAGAAGACGTCAACACTACGTATTGCCCGACAAACAAAATTTTTTTTAGATTGGTTAATGTGGGCCACAATTTCGTCCAACGAACGAATGCCTCTCGGTCGTCGGATGACCAATCGGTCGATTTTCTAATCGTGTATTCCCATCTTAAGTCAATGCAACTATGCTCATGCAGCTCTCAGCATTTTAGAGTGCAGTCAGATCATGCTTGCTATGTCTTACTGTACACTACAGCTCTTGGCAGGGCATCGTTAAATCAACCAGACAACATTGCTTGATCATGTAGAATCCAATTATAAAAACATAACATGTTTTATTGTTCATAAATGGGCTTATTTATTTAGGCAGCCCACAGAGCAATGGTGATGATCAAAGTGCACTAAAACATTGAAACCAATCATATTTCAACTTTCATCAATTTAGACCAGTGTAACCAATAACAGGTGATTTGTGGTTGTATGCAGTGGGTTACTGCTTCTAACCACGTTAAAAGATTTTGAAAGAGTTTGTCCTCTCCAATGTTGAAATATTTGTACATCGTATTCTGTATATGACTCCCCTTCTCCCAGAAATGGATCTATATTTTACTGTAGGCATTGAAACTGCATCTTTCATGATTCTATCTTGGATTATTCGATATCTACTGCATACAAAACTAGCGCTTACATTATTCTTTGTACGCTCTATCACACCTTTTTTCACTTAGTCTTAATAACAAAAAAAATGCCTGCTTTTAGCTGTTAAACCGTTTTCCATATTTTAATATCTTAAATTAACTGATCTTCATACAATTCTTCTAAATAAGACGGGGATCCACTGTCACCACTATTGCTGGCTTAGTATAGCACATTGCAAGGACTCAAGTGCTGAGGACCTCTGCTGGCCAAACTCTACTCTATACGGCGAGTATGCAGTCTTATGATGTTTTATTATTATTATTATTATTATTATACATGATTTATATAGTGCCAACAGTTAGTGTAGCACTTTATCAAATGAAATAGACATAACAGTTACAGTACAATTTGGTACAAGAGGAAACAGAGGGCCCTGCTCGTTAGAGCTAACAATCTAGGAGTTTTATTACTCTTTTTATTATTATTGCAATGTTACCATTGCTATGGTTTTTCACAGTTAAACCCCTTTGTGACGGCGCCTCCCAGCCCTTTAAGAGTTTCAGAAGCCGGGAGGCGAGGCGGGGTCTTAAGGTCATGTGACCTGCCGTGATTCACGCTGTCACATGACCGGAAAAGGTCCCAATCGCAAGGGGAGTCAAGGACATATCTGCTGGGTGCGCGCTCTCAGCACATATGTATTTTCAAATGGTACGCAAATATGCAGCCGCTCGGCGTCAAGGCCCAGATGCCGAGAGGCCGCATATTTGCATGCGCTTGGCATTTAGATGTTAAAGCCCAATTTTAGCCAACACTTTTTTTGTGTTTTGAATAGAATGTTTTTCTGTCTGTGATTTTCTCTGAGCAAGTTTTCCTACAAGTTTTATTCCTGTGATTAGAGGTGTGCATGATGGAAACAATTGTTTTGTTTCATTTGTTAAGTAAATCATTTTGTTTCAATGTACTTGTTATGCTAGAATGATTAATTTTCAAAATTCGTTTTGTATATTTGGATTCATTTCACACATTCATTGTTTTCAATCGATTTGTATTTTTTTTTTTTTTTTTTTGGAAGATTGGCTATATTCATTATAACGCGTTAATTTGTTATTTCGGGAGATTACTTATTCACACTGATTCATCCCTGCTAATCCAACCCACAAAGAGAAATGGAATGAGCTGACTGGACTACATAGACTGGAGTTGCATGCATCTGAAAGTAACAAATGGAAGGAAATTAATTTCAGATTCATTCGTTATGTTATGATTCACTGATTCTGATGGATACACCTCAATCCAACCCAAACACAATGAATAGGAATCATCTTATTTCACTTTTATACTTTACTGTATTTATTGCCATATACTGTATTTCCAAATAAAACGCCACTCTCATCCAAATAAAACGAAAGGATCCAAATCAATACGGATCATTTATTATGTTGTTACATTATTTCGGAGGCTTCAAGCAATAACAAAAGACTCAAACTATCATATCATGTCATTTGAATGAGGAAACGGAATACAAATTAATTTGTTGTTTTCGTTTTAGTTTATTTTGAATTAGTTGAAATTCGTTACTATTGTGATTAGGAGATTCGGATATATTTGAATCTCCAAACAGCAAACATTCCATCTGAATTTTGATTTGTAACCAAATGAATCGTACATGTCTACCTGTGGCATCAGTAAAGAAAATTCAGTGCACAGGAGACATGGGGATATGTAGGCACATAACAAAAAAAATGTTAACCTGTACTCACCCTAATAATAAAATGTATTTTTTTTTGCTATGGATATCCATACTGGAAATTTTTCCCATCAATTTTTGTGCTTAACCTCTGTCACCAAAACGGAAAGGGAGAGAAACCTCACCAATCCTTGACAACCTGGAAGCTTTAAAACCCCCTCGGGACAATGTTTTTGCGTAGGAGAAGTTAGTCAGTCACTATTTATATGCTTTGTATCCCTGACAGCAAATGAACAAAGAACACTGAAGTGAAGTGTGAACAACCTTATCTCTGTCATCTAGTAGGTGATCTAGTTCTGAGATGACATTCTCACCTGCCTTCTTGGAAAGAGAAGGCTATATGACAGTAGCTGTCCATGGTTCTGAAGATACTCTATATAAGGCTGGCTTCTTGCCTATGTGTTATGATTATTATTTTTTTTATTATTATAATTATTATTTTATTATACAGGATGTATATAGAGGCAACAGTTTGAGCAGTACAGTGCAGTTACAATATAATTCAATGCATAAGGGATATGTGAATTTTACAAAGTGGTGCTGACAAGCTTGGTAACACACTATGGGGGAGATTTACTAAAGCTGATTCATTCAGAATCTGGTGCAGCTGCACACAGTAGCCGATCAGCTTCTAACATCAGCCTGTTCAGTTAAGCTTTAGCAATAAAACCTGTAAGCTGATTGGTTTCCATGCAGAAGTGCATGAGATTCTGAGTGAACCAGCTTTAGTAAATAAACCCCTAATTGTGGTATAGTACATGGCAATTCAATTCATTCTGAATTGCACTTCAATTAAACTTGCAGACGTATGTGCATTTCGGCTCACCAGAACTCAAAGATGGGTACCACCAGTGTATTGTGGTGCCCTGCATTAGAAAAAATGTTCTTGTGTAATTTTTTTTTTTAGTTTTGATGGGTTGGTAGCACATATAGAAAGAATGGACTGCATAATTAATAAAGTAAGTTTACTGTATTGTTTATTATACAGATGGAGGATGGGCTCTACATCTCTACATCTAAAATACCATTATGGAAATCTGGCACACAAAGTAAGTAAAAATGTAATATAAACAAAATTCAGGCAATTTTTATAATGGGAAGTCCTAGGGATTGATTTACTAAAACTGGAGAGTGCAAAATGTGGTGCAGCTGTGCATGGTAGCCAAGCCGCTTCTAACTTCAACTTGTTCAATTGGGCTTTGACATAAAACCTGGAAGATGATTGGTTTCTATGCAGTGCTGCACCAGATTTTGCATGCTCCAGTTTTAGTAAATCAACTCCATAATGTTCTCTCACTAAATACAACATATACTACAGTTTCCCTTTAGATTGGTAATTTTGTGTACATTACATTTTTTAATTCCAATCATTCCTGCATGCAGAAAATAAGAGAGATAACTAAACCATTATAGTGAAACAATGGCAGCATGTGAGGATTTCTACACCTCTGCTGGATTAATTTCTTTTGTGTTCTGTAGCAGGAATGAGAATTCTTGTAAGAGAAAAGAATAGTGTTTCCTTCAGGCAGTTAGGCCACTTCCCCCTCCCATTCAGTCTCCGACTTTTGCACATGACTGATTGCTTTATCTGCAAGACTGCCCCATTGACTGAGGCATGCAGCCGTGCAAAAAGCCAGACAACTTGAGCAGATGTGGAGCTGGCAGATGGAAAGCTAGGGTTGTATTCAGAAAAGAGGAATGGGTTGGCTGAGGCTTCACTGTAACCTTACAGGGTCACCAAACCAGCTCCAGGCAAAACTGTTTGAGGGGAATAAAAATTAGTGGTGTATGATCTGCCTTTTTATGGACTTTGCACACAGTTTGCCGAGGAAGTCATTGTGCAGCAGTATCACAAATTACTTGCTTGAAATAGCAGTGCACACATATTCTGCCTACCAGCATCCAGGAGATACAGCTGCAGGTCCCTGGTCAGTGCTCATTCTACTGCATTTATGTGTCACATAACCTATACTAAGGTTCATAAACAGGTTGCTTAGACGTATTTTTCAAATAACCGACTGTCTACCAGTTTGATGTTCACTGCTGGGAAATGCTAGATACAGTGTTAGCTGTAAGTGTATATTCCGACTTTGATCCAACAATCGATAAGGTGGTCAAAATTTGCATCTTGGCAGGATCCACTCTCTCTTTACTTCTTTCTCCTCCTCCTCAAATGTTCAGGTTCTCCTTTTAGTAACAACTAAGAGAAAATAGCCATTTGACCAGAAGAGTTAAAGGATATTCGACCAATAGAGAAAATAGCATATCACTATAGGCTCAGAGCATTCAAGCAGAAGAGAAAATAATATAAGATAGACCTCTGCCCTGTGCACAAAGTATATGGAGATTCATCCATTGATTGGGAGGTTTGGAAAATGGCTGAACTAATGGGTGTTGGGCTAAGAAACATTTAAAGTAAAACTATAAGCAAAACTCTTTTTTTTCATTTAGGAGAGAGTAAGGGAGGGTTTTAACCCCTGCAAGATTTTTTTTGCCATCAGTATCCAACTTTCCCTTTACCTCCTG